TCTGAGCGAGACCCGCCCCAGCGCCAAACCAAGAGCTGAGGAGAGGAAGGAGAAAGGGAGGAGCGTGGAGCTCGCCTCTAAGGCCAAGAGGGAGCATAGACACTCGTTGTTCCTGAAAGAAAAGACTCCGCCCAGACGGCCCTCACCGTCTCCCTCACCGTCACCAGTGATCAACGAGCAAACTGTCGCTCAGAGGAAGATCTCCCTGTCAGATCCTCCGTCCCAGCTGGATGAAAACACCTCCGACCTCGGCACCATGAGCTCCGGGGCATCCATCCCACGATCAAGACCAAAGAAGTGGACCGGTGGAGCGTCCCTGGATCTGCCTGCAGGCGTTGGACCAGGAGGAGGCGCTGGGACGTCGGCTGGAGCCGAGGTGAGCTCCATCACCTCCGACTACTCCACCAACTCCTCCATTACATTCCTGACCGCCGCCGAGTCGAGCGTTCTCAGTCCGGAGCTGCAGGGCGGAGAGGAGGCCGACGACGAGCGCAGTGAGCTCGTCAGCGAGGGCCGACCCATGGAGACGGACAGCGAAAGCGAATTCCCCTTGTTCGCTCCGGGGGGCGGCAGCAGCCAGTCCACGCCTTGTCCGAAGCAGGGTCAGCAGAAAACCGACGCAGGGGCTAAAGGAGGCGCCACGGAGGGGGCGGGCCCACAGAAACAGGAAGGGCGCCGCCTTTTCCCCACACACAGGATGATCGAGTGTGACACCCTGTCCAGGAGGTGGTCCCTAAGGCATAAGACTGATAGTGACTCATCAGCAGAGGGCGCTGTGGGGAACGAGGGGAGAGCAGAGTCTGCCAGCAGGTTGTCTCGAGTCTTGGAGGTGATGAAGAAAGGCCGATCGTCGAGCAGCATCAGCTCCTCTTCGCGCAGCGAGTCGGAGCGCGCCGAATCACCCTGGCACCTCAAAATCACCGAGCGGCTGAGGTTCAGGATACGATCCTCTGCCGACGACATTTTCACCGCCAAGAGCCCGGCGGTTGATGCCAGGAGCAAAAAGAAGAACATCCGGCGGAGGCACACCATGGGCGGCCAGAGAGACTTTGCAGAGCTAGCGGTCATCAACGACTGGAGGGAGCAGGGCGGCGTAGACCAGGCGGCCGATCTGTCGGCTCTGGACCGCCTCAAACCCAGGTGCTCCTCTCAGGAACTTTCCATCCGAGACTGGATCAGCCGCGAGCACCTGAGGGTGTCCGACCCGGGCGCAGAGGCGGCACCCAAAGCGGTGCCGGAGGACGATCATCTCAAAGCTTCCGACGTTGTACCTGAAAAACCTCAGCCAACGACGGCGGAGCAGGTCAACGGCGGCGGGGTCCAGGACACAAATAAAACCCCGCTGGCGCCGGACACTCACCCGCACAAACTCCCCGGAGCGCAAGTCACCCGCTCACGGTTTTACCAGTACCTGTAGGCGGGAGAAACCCACCAGAGCGAGTGTGTTCAAGTGTGAATGTGTGTATTTTAGCACAATATTTTTATACTAAAGTATAATTTCTGTATCTAGTGTACATACTGTGTATAAGCTCTGATGATTGTTACTAAACTAATATTAAAGATCATTAAGTTTTCCGCCATACTGGAACAGACACGGAAAGGAAACATGAACTTTCTCCTGCAGAAATGACCCGAAAAACTGAAAAAATAGACGATTTTTAAGGCGGGAGGATTCATGTTTCAGTTCTTCCTCATTTTGAAGAATGTATTAATCTTTCTGGGCTGATAAGAGATGCTTGAGACGAGACTGTTTCTTTTCTGCCTGTACTTGAAGTACGTAGGAAAACTGACGGCTGCGTTCTGTGGGAAGTTTTATTTCCACAGCCGGAAATTAGCTGGAAGAACTGGAGGATTGTTCTAGATTTATCCCCACACAGGCTTTGAAATGGTAATGAGACGCTGACGCTGTGGTATGTAATGCTTTGGTACATCAGTTTTTATTTCCCAGAAAAAAAGGTCTGTTTTTACATGTTCGACTTGTTTTTATCTCTGAAAAAGTGCCTGTTTTGTTTTCATTTAAAGACCAGTTGTTGTTTTTTTATAAACAGAACGATTGTTTTAACCAAGAAATCCAGTTTTCAGTAAAATCTACTTCTCCAGCATTTATTTCTCTCCTGACCACACCTCTGTTTTTGTTTTTTAAATGTGGTAAAAGGCACCAGCGCCTTTAACTGGAAGAGACTAGAAGAAAGCAGGTTTGAAACCTGTACGATGCGAATGTTTGCTGCAGCAGAGCTTGGGTTCAGTGCTGCCCCGTCCCAACAAACACTGGAAATAAAGAAAAACATGAAGTCCAGCATCTGCTTTCTCTCTCCTTTTTGCACAACGGGTGACGGGTTTACATTTTTAAGTTTGAAAATGTTTTTTTCTCTGATTTAGAACATTAAAGAGAGACCTACGACCCTCAGGAGCGTTTTTCAGACACACAATGTTAAAAACAACTGATTCAGTAAAATACATGCATTAACATTTTAATAAAGGTGTTAGTGTATTTATCAAAGACAAGATCAGGGTAGGAGATTAAAACATTGTGATGAGAGAGAAGAAGGCATCAATGATGGGGACTATAGGGAAAAAAGGATGTTCATCTCCTTTTTCCAGAACAAGTAGCTTGTTTTTTTGTTTTTTTTTTTGATAATAGGTTGGCAGGAAACGAGGTATGAGAGAGGTGGACAGACATGCGGCAAAGGACCACAGGCCGGATTCGAACCCAGGTCGGCCGCATCGAGGACTAAGGCCTCCACACACGGGTCATGCACACCAACCACTTCACTGCAAGGACACCTATGGGTGTTTAGTTCTGACTGGAAAATCTGGCAGTGATGAAAAAAAAAAAAAAACTGGAGCAGCTTTATAGGAGAATGAACAGGGTTTCTGCAGGTCATTAAAAATCATTAAATTATATATTTTTTAAATTTAGGCCTTAATTGGCATTAAAATTCATTAAATGTGATTATCATGGCATTTGAAATGCTTTAAAAAAAAATTAAAAATTGTCAAATCTATCAGGTTTAACTGGTTCCACGTGTTTGCGTGGAACTGCTCCTGGTTGATCCTAAAGCCATATGTAACAGAAGCTCAAGGCACAGAAAAAGCTATAGAATGGGAAAATGATAATTTTAACATAAGTGGCTGAAAAACGAGAAATTCGGGACATGGCTGCAGTGTTTATATATACACTCACCGGCCACTTTATTAGGTACACCAGTCCAACTGCTCGTTAACACTTAATTTCTAAGCAGCCAATCACATGGCGGCAATTTAGGCATGTAAACATGGTCAAGACAATCTCCTGCAGTTCAAACCGAGCATCAGTATGGGGAAGAAAGGTGA